TGGGGGAATGGCTGCGCTGGGCATGCCCGACCCTGGGCACCAGCTCTGGGCAAAGATTCCTGGGCCCTGAGGTGGCGGTAACGACACCCAAATCGGAGGCCTGCGTGGCGCTGGACAAGGAGGAGAGAGCGTGACCCATGGGCGGAGCGAGAGGCCCTTCCTGCCCTCGCCTCCTGGGCTCCAAGAAGCGAGTCTCCGGGACTCCTGAGTGACCTCGGTGAAGGGAATTCGGCCTCGATCACCAAGGAGATTAAATTCCCTGCCAGCCCGTCAGGATGGGGCTCTGAGTTGGACTTAAACGCACCCGATCTAATCTTGTTTCCATTTATTAAAAATAGAACATCTTTTGTCCACCTGGGCCTGGGAGGACGAGTCCTACCTCCCGCGGCAGCCAGCACAGAACGCTGTGTCGACTCTTCTGGGGCGCATCCCCAAGCAGGTAAATGGGGGCCCTCCAATCAGCCTCCTTTATGCTCCTCAGGGAAGGGGCTGAGGAGACCCCGGCTTTGCAGGCCACTTTGATGGACTGTGGCTTCACGGGTCGCCGTTACCAGGTTGTGGTGAACTGTCAGTTCCTGGAACACACAGCCCCCACAGCCCCACAGAGTCCCCTTCATAGGGGACTTCTCTGAGCACAGCACACAACGCAGCCCCCACCCAGACCCCTTTATGTCACTGAGCTCCCTCTGCGCCACTCCTTCCCCAGAACTTGTCTGTAAATGTCCTCCCTGTGACCACTCTTCAGAGGAAATAGCACAGTGAGAAGAGACAGGACTTGGGAGCAGAAGCCCCACAATCCAGCTCTGACCTTACCGCTAGCGCTGGGCAGCCTGCTTCCCTGGTTGTGTCGCGGTGGAAAATGGAAATGAGCTGCTTCCCAGCAAAGGAAGTGGCCGGTAAGTGGCAACGTGCTCTACTGCTGTAAGGGGCTCTTAAATGAAGGCACCGGCGTCTCCTCTTCTCCCCTGTCCTTCCCTTCGAGGACCAAACCCGGAGCTGCAGAGCGTGGCACTGTTTTCTGTTCACCCAGACAGCACATGGGCCGGAGCTTTGCACACTGAGATCTCTGATTCACATTACAATAAACACGGAATTCATTACACAAGAGGGTTGCGTGGCCCTTAAATCCCCCTGTTGTACCACAGTGGCTGCAGCAGTGGGGCTAGGACTTGGCTTTGCCCCTACCTCTCCAAGCTCTAGCAAGTCCCTTTGCAAAGTATAGCAAACAAGGACACAGCAGATTTGGTTCCAGTCCTGATTCTTTCCCTTACTGGGTATCATTTAACCTTAAGCAAGTTTACCCAACTGTGGGGTACATACTAGTACATGGGCAGAAGGAGGAACATGAAGAGAGCTTCCAATGTGAAGCCCCCAGTTTCCCTCTCAGTGCAGAGGGAGGTTAACCCAGTCCTAGACATTCCCCTGCCCCGACCTGTCCTGTGTGTGAGCAGAGAAGGTGCAGAGCAGGTGCCTGGTCTCTGCCTGCCCCTCAGAGCTTTCAGGACAGCAGCCCTTTGAGGTTTTTATTCCCCTCAACTTGTGGGGCCCGGGGGACATGATGCACATGGAGAAACTGAGGAGGCTGGGGGTGCAGGGACCCCCAGCTGGCCTCGCTCTGTCCCGGCCCACCCGGAGAGCCCCAGTGAGCTCATGTCTGCAGAAACCTCACTGCTCATAACTGGATGATGAGATAAAGCTGGCAGCCAGGCACAGGTGAGAAGTGATGGGTGTCTCCTTAGGAATGTGCTGCCCAATTAAAACTGCCTCCCAGATGGCTCAGGTGGGTGCTGGGACTCCCCCCGCCCCCCCAGGCCATGCTGGCCAGCCTCTAGGCTGAGTCTTTCTGCAAGCATTTATTGAGGGCCTACTGGGGAGACAAGGATAAATAAGAGCCACACCAGAGAGTTCAGTCCATCTGTCCTAGACACACGTTTGGAAGCAGGTTGTCAGAAAGCCTTGAGGGTTCTGCTTCTCTTCCCCACAGGCCCCAGCCCTTAGCCTCTTTCTCTTCCTTTCACAGCATCCATAGCCTTCAGCCTTCCTCCCACCTACTCTTCCTCTTAACCTGGTGTGGATCAGGCCGCTGTCTCCTCAGCTTCCCTGCTTCTAGGGCAGCTTAGACAACCTTCCATACTGTCCATCCACAGTACGAACTTTAGGCTTATTGTGCCCTGTCTTTGCAGGTTCCAGCAGAGGCCACACAGTGAGGCAACACCCATGTCACTGAAGGATGGGCTCATTCCCCAGGTTCCCTAGGCGAATTCCCTGTCAGAAGTGAGTCCTCAGACAAGAAAACTGAACTTGGAAGACAAGCGGCCTCCCTCTCTCTAAGGGCATGTACCCCGAGAGCAGACATTTTAAACGGGTAGAAACCAAGTGTGCTCTACCTGGCGTGTGGTTACAGCAGTCAGACTGCTTGTGTTAAAACCCAGGCTTCCCCCTTCCCTCTGTGTCTGTATCTTTCAGGGTGTCATCCTACTGTGAGAAACAACCAAAACCCCTCACAGTGTTGAGGGGGTGGTTATTTTCCTCTTGTAACGAGAAGTCAGAAGACAGGGAGCCCAGGGTCTGAATGTGGCCCCAACGGCCATCAGGAACCCAGGCTCCTCCTACCCAGCCTTTCTCAGCAGGTGCTTCTCGCCTCATGGCCACGAGATGGCTGCCCCACCTCCAACATCAAACCCAAATTTCAAACAAGAAGAGGAAGGTCAAAGGACTAGTTGAGTCTCCATCCCTTTTTAGAAGCCTTCCTGGAAGTCCCACAAACTGCTGCTTCTACATTATCGGCTTGGATTGGCAAGAAAGGCCGTAAAGCATGTTTTTAACTGAGCATATTGCTGCACCCAACAAAACCAGATTGGTATAGATAAGGAATATAAACTGGTACAGTGTTTGCAAGGAGAGAGGTGAAGACCAGATTTCAGGAAGGAGACGGTGTGGGCAGAAGTGAAAAAGGAGGAGCAATGGCTCCTTGTTGCTTCTGACAAAGATTTCTTACCTGGCCAGACTTTAGTCAGGCTCCTGAACCTTCTCCTAGGTCCCTCTGTGAACTTATTGTAAAATTCAGTTCCAGCGAGAACTCCCAACCCTCCATAGCCGATCACCTTAAATCTGATTGGATCCCTCGGCCTCCACCAGGCGATGTCTGATCACCCTGGCCTGTCTTCAGCGAGAATTCTATTAGGTTGCTTTAGCCAGAGTTCTCCTCACTCCTAATGTTCCCTCTTCGTAATTTCCCATCCACTGACCCTCACCCTGCTCCTGGCTATGAATTCCTACTTGCCCATGTAGTATTCAGAGTTGAGCCCGATCTCTCTTTCCCACAGCAAGACCCTACTGCAGCAGCCCCTACACATGTAGCCCTGATCCTCTTGAATAGCCTGCCTTACTGTCTTCAACTGTCATGCAATGTGTTTTCCTTTAGCACTTCTTATCCTAACGGCTCAGGGAGGTGATGGTGATCAGCGGTTGGGCAGTTGGCTAGACAGATGCAGGGGCCTCCGCCTTCCCCACAGGAGAATGAGGAAAGAGAGCTGGACGTGGCAGAGTGTGGCGAGCTGGCACGGCCATGGAACACTCAGCCCCAGGGCACCTTATGTGCCAAGCCAGCTCAGCCTGGTTCAGTGACCCTGAGGGGGGAGGGGGGGATTGAGGGATTGAGAAAAGACAGACAAGAGAATAAAAGCTGGGTCTCAATGGGACGCTGCTTCTCTGACGGAGAGACAGCACCAGCGCCCACAAGCCGTGTCTTTATTTTATAGCTGATGCCACGAGGCAAAGTAAGGGCGTGATCAAGATGTTTACAACATTCTCGTGGGTTTCAAGCCTACTCAACTACATGCACCTGAAATCTATCAAGCCCACATCACTCAGCCACGTGGGGCCACGTGTTCCGACCAGAGGTTCAAGCTTACAGCTACAGCTGTTGGATGTAATTGTGCTGGGAAGGCTCTGCTCTCCAAGCTGGGACTTGCACGTGGCAATGAGAAGACTGTGCCCTCTCATCAGTCCAAGGCTTGAACCTGTCCAAAGCACTGTAGTGGCTCCCCACAGCAGAGAACTCGGAGGTGTCCAGCCCACTCTCCATTGCCAAGCAGGCCCCTCATTCACTCCCTTGAGAATCTCTCCTCCCCCCAAGCATCATCTTTAGTAACTTCAACTGCTTAATGTCTGCCCTCACTTCCTTCTGCTTGCAGGCTAAGCTCGACCTGGCAGTACCTACAGAGAAACCCACCTTTTAAAGTGTTCTCTAGGCCGGCCAGGGTCTCTAGCGGTCTGGTTGGGGTGGCTCAGTGGTTGAGCGTGGACCCATGAACCAGAGGTCATGGTTCAATTCCCGGTCAGGGCACATGCTGGGGTTTCAGGCTCCATCCCCAGTGCAGGGCGTGCAGGAGACAGCCGATCAATGATTCTGCCTCATCATTGATGTTTATATCTCTCTCTCCCTCTCCCTTCCTCTCTGAAATCAATAAAAACATATATTTTTTAAGTGTTCTCTAACCCCTATGTGCGTGTCTTTTTTGCTTGTGGACCGCTGGGGGAGGGGAGGGCAGTTTTCGTGTTTTCTGCATCTTTGTACCTTCAGCATCTACACGGCCTCTGTACTCAAAAAAAAAAAAAAAAAATCGTTGAGAGTGGCTTTGGCTGCGGAGCCTCTTTATTCCTCCCGGGCGGGCGGAGAGACGTTCTGCTCCGGAAACGTGGCTGGAGCCTTTCCCAACATTACTGGGTAACGGCGCTCTCTCCGCGCGGTTACCTCCCCCAGGCCGCTTGGGGCGCTGCTCTCCCCGCACTCGGCAGCCCTCCAGCGGCGCCGGCTGCTGGGCCGCGAAGAGCGCACGCGCAGGCCGCGCCCCCGGCAGCTCACCATTCGGCGCATGCGCACCGAGTGCGGCTGCTCAGAGGACCGGACAGGTTAACTCCGGAGGCGGGCAGGGGGCGGGGCGCGGTAGGGTGCGCCCAGGAAGGAGTTGCTGGGAGTTCGCGCCTGGCAGGTGCGGGACTGCGGCCTGCGCTCCCTGCTGGGCGGGGCGGGTGGTCTCCGAGCGTCGCTGTTCGCCAGGGGGCGTGACCTGAGCCCGCCTCGTGGGCTGACAGGCGAGTGGGAGGATCTCTAAGGCTGGCCATTAATTTGGTGTCCGTTGTTTGTTGCGGAAGGTTTTCTCGAGGAGGACACAGAGTTTGCAGTAGTAGACGGAGAAGGGGCAAAGCCGGGCCAGGTGGGAGCTGGGGTGCCCCGAGTCCCCGGACGGCGAGGAGCTGGGCAGGTTGGCGGAGGCGACCAGTCCCTCCCGTTGCACGGAGGGGTCGGAGGGGGGTGGGGAGCACTGCTACAAAACGAAGGCTCGGGAGAAGCTGTACAGGTGTTTGGGATCACACTGAGAACAGCACTTTGGTCACTGTTGTGTTTTCCCTTTTCTCGGTTTCTTCCCTCCCTGTGCAGTGTGGCCATTGACATGCACCGCCTGGACTCTTCGCCCCCTAGGACATGACCCAGGTGGCACACCCTGGCCATGGGGTCTCAGCATTCCGCCTCTGCGCGCCCTCCTTCCCACAAGCGAAAGAAAGATGACAGAGAGGATATGCTGGACGAACGGGAGCAGGAAGAAGCCATTGCCCAGTTCCCATATGTGGAGTTCACGGGGCGGGACAGCATCACCTGTCTCACGTGCCAAGGGACAGGCTACATTCCCACAGGTGAGAACCTTTGAGAATCCCGAGGTACCCGCAGGGCTTCTGCTCCCAGACAGAGCCTTTACTCTGGGCAGGAATGTCACAGTGGTAGATGGTGCCCTGAACAGGAGCCATCAGCTGACCCGATACATTGGGGCAGGTTCCACAACTTCTGTTGGTTTCCGTATATTTGAAAGCCGTTCTTTTCTTCACTTCCACTCTTTGGTTCTTTGTTTCCTTGGCTTGGAACTTTTGGTTTTGTTAGAGAGCAAAAATTCAATCGAGTGAATTTGAAGATCTAATTGGCTTTAGTGAGCGATTCATAAATCGAGCGGCATCCCAAGTATAGCGGAGCCCCAAGGAGCTGTACAGTGTGGGTGCTTTTATAGGCAGAAACTGGGTGGAACAGGAAAGTTGTTAGCAAAAGAAAAGAAAGGATTGTTTCGGGCAAAGGGGATTGTTCGTGGGGGTGGGGAGAGGAGGAAGAGAGTCCACATGACCAGAAAATTCCAGACTGACTGATTAAGATTACACTCCTGGAGAAGTCTGAAACTGTAATTAGGTCAAGCATTAAGTCTGGGTTCACTGTCATGGGTTTCAGCACAAGTGACTCCACTTTGGGCTTGTGGTTGTCTCTTTCACAGTTTGCTGTGCATTGTGGGATTTGTTGACAGGCACGTTTCTTTATTGTTGTCACTTGTAAGACTTGGAACAGCTTTGCTCCGTGGAAGCTTCTTATCAAGGGAGCAGATAGTGAATCATTAACAACCTAAAATCTGAAAAATATGTGTATCACGTGGGGAGAGAAAAACAAATGCTCAGGAGTGGAGCCTGGATTAGGTGCAGAGTCATATGTCACGACGCTGGTTCCCAGGAAGTCATAACAGCTTCAGATCATCACAAAGGTTAGAGCTGTAAGAACCATCTCCTCCAAAGCTTTCATATTAGAGGTGAGGAGACAGTGGCCTGAAGGGGTAATGCCTTCCCCAAGGCCATGCAGGAAAGCCAGACTTAGGGCCTCCCTTCCTGGGTAGTGTACCTGCATGTCTCAGACCCTAGATTTCTCAACTTCCACGTCACTGCCCTGGCAGCACTGATACATGTTTTGTAATTTGTGACACTCTCTATAGAGTTAGTTATTAGACCCAAAATGCGAATCTACGTCTAATTCCAAACAAGTATAGGTTGTGACAGGCTGCTGTGCGATGCGAAGGCAAGTACTGCTAACATGTGAGATTTATTTTAGCAAAATAATTGTTTGGTTATTTTATAGAGCAAGTAAATGAGTTGGTGGCTTTGATCCCACACAGTGATCAGAGACTCCGCCCTCAGAGAACGTGAGTTACCTGCCTCTCTCCTGGTAATACCTAATTCTATCCCTGGTCCCTTTCTATACATATAAATGCCAGTTTTTGAAAACTTTTATCTGTTCTTGTCAATTCCTCCATTTCCTTTAATACTATTTGCTCAAGAAAGATATCTCTGCCCTCATCACCATCTGGGGGAGGAAACTTGAAGCTAGAAACATTCTGAGGGCCCAGGGAAGGAACTGAATTGGAAGGAATTGGAGCAGGGGTGTCCTGGGGGTTGAAAAAAATGTTTCTGTCTACACAGCTCCCCTCTTCAGCGTCCCTTCCCCGATTGCAAACAGCAAAGGCTTCTGCCTCTGCACTCATTCTTGCCTGGTTTGTGGTTCCTAGCCCTTTGTCCTTTCCTGTCCCTGCCCCCGTCAGTCCTGGCTGTGCATTTAATCTTAACCGATTGGACCTTGACATCTGACTACCCACGTGGGTCATGTGCTGTGTCATTTGCAGCAAGCAGTATGTCCTCCTGTCTGTCCTGCTGTGCCTCCTGGCATTTGGTTTGGTGGCTTTCTTCCTGTTTCCACATTCAGTCCTTGTGGATGATGACGGCATCAGAATGATGAATGTCACATTTAATAAGCAGGACTCCCTTGTAATCCTCGCCATCAAGGTAAGACCTAGGGCCTCCCTTCCTGGGTTGTGTGTCTGCATGTCTCAGACCCAGGAAACTTACACTTCCTCCCTCCCTTGCCCTGATGCAGGCCACCCTGAAAATCAGGAACTCCAACTTCTACTCTGTGGCAGTGACCAGCCTGTCCAGCCAAGTTCAGTACATGAACACAGTGGTTGGGTCATATATGACAACTAACGTCTCTCTCATTCCGCCTCGGAGTGAGCAACTGGTATGCCGGTGTTTTTTTTAGGGTCCTCACCCCATAGGCCTGAGAGAAGAGTGGGGGCTGTGGGAATGTCATAGCCTCCTTACTTTCTTTTTCCTCTCATTTCCACTTATAAGAACTGGTTGATGAGAAAGACCTGGCGAGCTCTGTAATTATGAAAAATTAGAGGGAGTGGGGGGATCAGCTTGCATTTAAATATTAGAGGAACAAAAGGATATATAAAAGAAAGCAATTGGGTACAAATCAAGACGAGGCAAAATGGTAGTCTGAGGTCCACTGGCCTCTCCGAAGGGAAGAGGCGGGAAGAATTTGTTAGGGGCACATAGTCTGTGTGAGGGCCAGTCTTAGGGAAACGTGTGTCTGAGATGGAAGGGTGGTCCCAGGTCTTTTGATGCTAATGACAGTATTGTTCTGTGTCAGTCCTGCTTGGCCACAGACCGACTCTGGTGTCTTCTTTACAGGTGGACTTTCTGGTGCAGGCGGAGATGGGAGGACCATTTTCCTATGTGTAGTAAGGACGCTGCTCTCTCTCTGTGTTCTCCGCTGGATGAAAGGGATGCAGAGTTGTGCCCAGTTGATTGATTGGGGCTGGTCCTGCCTTAAGTCCCAGCCTTTGGCCTATAGGCTCCCTGACTTTGGCTGTCTTGAGATTTATTTGGAGGATGTGTGTTTAGCTGTGTGACTGAAGTGCTGGAATATCTAAAAGAGAACATTAAGCCACTAGAGACAGTTCCAAGCTCCAGCATTTATATGATGGTTTTGAAAAAACAGAGTATCTCGGTGTGGGAGGAGGCAAGGACACTAGGGATTGGGAACCAGTCAGCCGTGGGAGCGCCGAGGTCAGGAGAGCCGGTGTGGGGAGGGGAGGCGCCCAGACAGGGCTGACTGCCCCGCCGCTTGACAGTGTAACTCCGTTCTCTTTTGCTGTTTTTCTTTTTTGTTTTGTTTTGTTTTAACTAAACTGACTGCTTCTATATTTGCTGTTTGTTAGCTTCTTCTGCACATTACCCGATATCCAGGTGCACAACATCGTGATCTTCATGAGGTACGTTGCTCTTCTTCCTGTTCCACGGCCTCTGTATTTGAGTCTCGACCATGAGGCTGTGTGAGCTCGCCACCTCCGCGCAGGAGAGCCTGTGTGACCCACAAGGCACCCAGCCAGAGAGGGGATGGGGCGCCTCTGCCTTCAGGCACAGATACAGTAAACTTTTGGTGTCCTCTGGATGCCGTGTCCAAACCCCGTCACAAATTTCCAGACTCACAATGAACAATTAGATGTATAATGTTTTCTGTGAAACAAGGTCTAGTTCTGTGATCCCTTTAGAATCCTGACAAGACTAGTAAAGAACAGAAAGCTTCCTCCAGGTGTAAGTACTGAGCATTTGGCCAGACTGTCTTTCTAGCCACACAAATTACCTACCACATATCATGGACCTTTAGGGTCACTCCTAGAACCATGACAAGGGTCTGCTGCAGACATTTGAAATAGGAGAGTGTAGAGCAGGGGTGGGGAACCTTTTTCTGCCAAGGGCCATTTGGATACAGGCAGTCCTCGGGTTACGTTGGACTCGATGTACGTCGTTTCGTGGTTACATTGCCATCTCCCATTTATTTATTAAAAAAAAAGTTCCGTCCTTTCTACGTTATGTACATATGTGCTTTATGTTTTTTTACTATTTACTGTATTTACCACAAGTAAAGGTCAGGAATTGTTAACTTTCTTTTAATTTTTTTTTTTGCTGTTTCACTTCTTTACTGCTGTGTATGTGCTCCATGTGAGTGACGTAGGTGCTTATGTAGGTGGGTTCCGACTTACGGCGAAAATCGTGTTACTTGGCGCCATAGACCCGAGGACCTACTGTATTTGTAACATCATTCCAGGGCCATACAAAATTATCAACTTAAAACGTAGTCTGCTATATTTGGTCAAACATTTAATTAACTCACCCTAATGCCTTGGCAGGGCCGGACCAAAGGATTTTGCGAGTCTTATACGGCCAGAGGGCTGGACATTCCCACCCCTGGTGTCGAGTGAGGTTTCCCAGCCTCGCACTATTGACATTTTGGCTGAGACAGTTATTTGTTGTAGGTGCTTTCCTGTGCATAGTAGGATGTCTAATGGCATCCCTGGCCTCTGCTCACCAGCTGCCAGTAACACCACCAACCCCCCTCCGTTGTAACAACCCAGAATGTCTGCAGACATTGCCAGAAGTCTGTGTGGGGTAAAATCTTCCCCAGTTGAGAAATGCTTGTTTAGAATGTCACAGCATCTCGGTGGATGTAGAAAGACTCTGGGTTTCTGGTTGCATAACCATGAAAAATGGGAATGGGACACATGGATATTGTTGCCTGAGTTTGCAAGAAATTATTTGGGCAATTTTTCTTATTTCATCTCAAAAGCAGAATTAAATCTCCTTGGTTTCTTTTTCCTAGAACTTCAGTGAAGATTTCGTACATTGGTCACATGACCCAGAGCTCCTTGGAGACACATCACTATGTGGATTGTGGAACAAACTTCTCAGCTGTTTAGAAACTGCTTTTGGCTCTCCCACGGCAGTACCTGTCGGAAGAGACACCCCATCCGTTCCTAGGGCCTGCGTTCTGCACCTACCCAGGTGGTAGAAGTAGAGGAGAAACTGGTTCTCTTAATCCCCAGCAAACACCCGCCTGCCGCTTGGGAGGAAACCTCGCCTCTGTGGCACCATTTCCGTTTCCCTGAACCAGCGAATCACTGCCCAGTACCCACTCTGTGCCCAGCAAATAGTAGGCACTCGAGGTTTGAAGACTTTCATTCAGATCTTGCCAGCTGTGCTTGGAGATTATAAGCTGAAAGCAGACCGGGATACGAGGTTAGAGAACCAGAGAGGGGCGTGAGGCAGCACTGTTGCTGCAGCTGCACAGCTGTCATCAGGACCTCATCGCACCGAAGAGGCACAGGGAGGGAACGTGTGAATACATAAAAGAAAGCGCAGACCATTCAATATGTGATTTTTTTTCATCTGTTCCTCAATGCCTAGGAACTTAAAAACCTTTTTCTTGTAGAAATTTATAATTGTTTTTACTAAGAGTCTATGTGGGGCTTGATTAACCCTGCATCCATTGGCTGGAACATGGATTGGGGGTTTGGTAGGAAAATAAACCCTGCTTTTGACTCATCTGCATCTTCTCTTGCCTGGATGACTTAGACACCTCCGGGGGCCGTGGATTAGGTGCCTGCTAAGGAGGTCAGCACAGGATGGGAAGGGAAGAAAGCCCTGAGTGTGCCATCCCCGGAGGCTCTTAGCACAGAGAACAGCCTCGCTTTTCCTGGTCTCTGGCGGTGACGCGCTGCCCTATTGCTCCTCCCAAACAGCACTTAATGCCCCCTGGAGGTTGGAAGAGGTAGGGCAGAGATGCCTAAGGAGTGAAGCTGCTTCTTGGGGCGGAATAACTTCCCCACCACCACCACCCCGACCCCCTGGCTGTCGTTCTGATGAAAGGGGCCTGGTTTGAGTTTGAAAGTTTCTTGAACTGGCTCCAAGCTACAACCACCAAAGTGGGCTCCAGCCCCACAGTGGGATGCTGGAGTAGTCGGGGTTCAGACCTCAGCTGAGGTAGCCTCGGGAAGCCCTAACAGCAGCAGGTGGTGGCAGGGGTCAGTATTAGTCCTCATGCCCATAGCTTCATCTTCAATATTTGCTCATTGATTTTGACACTGAATCTTTTTTTTCTTTGGTTAATCCTCACCTGAGGATATTTTTACATTGATTTTTAGAGATAGTGGAACAAAGAGGGAGAAACGAGAGAGAAAAATATCTGTCTCTCATAAATTGGTTGCCTCCCGCACGTGCCCCGACCAGGACCAGGGATCCAGCCTGCAACTGAGATACATGCCCTTGACTGGAATCGAACCCAAAACCCTTCAGTCCTCAGGGACTACGTTCTATCCACTGAGCCAAACCGGCTAGGGCAACACTGAATCTTTTTTTTTAAATATATTTTATTGATTTTTTTATAGAGAGGAAGGGAGAGGGACACAGAGTTAGAAACATCGATCAGCTGCCTCCTGCACACCTCCCACTGGGGATGTGCCTACAACCAAGGTACATGCCCTTGACCGGAATCGAACCTGGGATCTTTCAGTCCACAGGCCAACACTCTATCCACTGAGCAAAACCAGTTAGGGCCACTGAATCTTTTTTTAACTAAGGCTAAATTTTGTGACTGCTTTATTGACATTGACCATGATTGAGTAACCGCACGCTGAGAGCTGAATTTCAGTGTGACACTGGGTCCTTTAATTGTCTGTATGAACACGTAGTGATGACTGTTCTGTATACTGACGATGGGACAGGACTTGCACGGAGGCAAATGTACACCGTTTCTGAGATCGTTGCCCTACACACATGAAGATGTTCACCTTGCGACATTTCCTCTTTAATTTTCCCATTTTCCAAATAGCTTCTAGTGCATATTTTTATGTAATTTTGGAAAAACTACTCATACTGGTACTTAAGTTTCAATGATTTTTGTGGCTGTGCTTCAATAGCATTTCTTGCTTCTCAGTATTACCTTTAAATCCAGCTGCGATGTTCAAAGGAAAGCACTTAATTGTTTTAAACAGCAGTAAGTCTGACCTCGTAATGCTCTGAAATCTCATACCTGTTTACATCCTTAGCCCCTGTGCTGCACCGTGGGATACCTGCATAGTTGTGCCAGGCTCTCCATCAGTTCTTGAACAAATGCATACAGTTTGCTCTCAGCAACACCAAAATAGAAAGGGGAAGTGGCTGGCTCAGCTGTCATTGCCATCATCATCGTGTTTCTAGTGGATTGAAATTTAGAAAGAATGTGCTTCTTGAAAACAAGACATACTCTGAGATCTCTTTTTCTCTGTAGCTTCCTGCTTGGCCTCTACTATGACCCCTTTTTTGCTCTCAAACTACTTACCCTGTGTCACCTGGTTGAAATCTCCATTGGTTCATTTACTCATTCCAAAAAGGTATTTATTGAGCACCTGCTGTATGCTAAGGATTACATTTTCTGATGTGTTTTGTCCAGAGTCATAGCTAGAAGTTTAAAACATCATCACAAGCCTTTTGTTTTAGGTAATTTTATTAAAGATTTTTAATGTTGACATAATTGAAGGTGACATAATTGAGAGCCCTTTGCTCTCCTTCATTCATCCCCACTTCTCCCTGCCTGGGCCTTCACCAAACTATTGTCTATGTCCAAAAATATCAAATGCTTCATGAATTTGCCTGTCATTCTTGTGCAGGGGCCATGCTAATCTCTATCCTTCCAATTCTTTAGTATATGTACTGAGAAAGTGAGCACCATCACAAGCCTCTTATATTCACCAGGCCCCATCTCTTCCTTAACTTTAGTTACCCCAAAGTAGGGTCCCCTCAATCTCCGGGTCAACTGTCTAGGAATTGTAACCCCAAGTGTGAAACATTACTGAAAGAACCAGCCTATTTGTAAATGCTCTCCATGAATCCTAGGGGTTCCCAAATATTTCCTCTGCTCAAAATAGTCCTTATTCTTTGCCTTTATAAGTAAGATTCTTGAGAGCACCCTTTTAAAATTCTGTGTTCCTTCACTTGTTTAGAAGGGGAACTATTACAGAAGTTGTTCTGTAATTTACCCTGGATCTAAGGAACTTGAGTAAGTCTTGGCTGGAGCAGACTCCTGACTCCCAGTTAAAAGCCTTCAGACACTTCGGTAGAGCTGAGGAAGCTCAAGAGAGGAAAAATAACCTGCCTGAGGCCTCACAATTAGTAAGCCAGGTCTGTCTGCTCAAGCCTGCTGGGCGTCAGGATTTTCTATGAGAAGTTATTCTAATTCTATTCTAATTCTGCCTTTCCTGGGGCATTCGGGACCACAGGAGTTAGTATGAACCTGGTTACTCTCACCCCCTCTGGGCCAGGTTGGGACAAGGAAGCAGCAGTAAGTAGCACATTGACTGCCAGCCAGGGTGGTGCATTTCAATTTGACCACACACAGGCAAGGTTCTCTGTTCCTCTGCTTCTCTTCCCTTAAGCTCTACCTCGGGTTCCCTCCCCAATTACCACGCAACAGTTACTACAATTTCTGGGTTTAGCCAGGTACCCAGGAAGTGTGTGGGCTGCGAGGGATCACCTTTATATCCTGGTGCAAATGGGACTTCACTTATCAAGGTCTGAGCTGCTTTAGTAAGAATAAGTAACTCTGCCCTGGCCAGTGTGCCTCAGTTGATCAGGCGTTGCCCATGCACCAAAATGTTGCCTGTTCCATTCCCTGTCAGGGCACATGCCCAGGTTGCAGGCTTGATCCCCTGTAGGGGGCATGCAGGAGGCAGCCAATTGATGTTTTGCTCTCACTTCGGTGTTTCTCTCCCTCTAAAAATCAATAAACTATTATTTAAAAAAAAAAAAAAAAAAGGAATAAGTAGCTCTGATGACACTGTGGGAAGCAAAGTGAGGTAGGAAGCAGAATGGGCTCTTGGAGTGTGGTTGACAGGTTCAAACCAAACTCAACTCTTCATTTCCACCTATTGTCTAAGGAAATATTTTAATAAGCATCTGTACACCTCACTGCTCTCCCCTTGGCTCCCATTAGCTATCTTGATAGATGGAAGGGTTGTTTATTCTAAATTATGAACTAGCCCTCTCTAGTGGAGAAGGTGTCAGCTTCCTCATTTTTGCCACATACACAAGTCATTGGAAAGCAAGGGACACCTGATGGTAAGGAGAGATGGGAAGCTGTCTGTTCATAAGCCCACTGTTGGGAGGAAGTGCAGAGAAGCTTTAAATGTAGGTCCAGGAAGTATAGAATGGGGGGACAGAGGTACAGGGGCAGGAAAGAGGAATAGGGGTGAGTTATGTGTTCAACACTCCCACCTCTCCTTGATCTAAAAGTCTTGGGAAAAGACATAAATAAGTAGGTCACCAAGATTGCCTGATTGTGTGTCCTTAGCATGGGCCCCCCAAAGATTCCCTCCCCTCTCCTTCCCCACTCTCCACACCCCCTCCTCCCTCAGGAGCATCTTCAGCCTTGCCCGCCCAGCAAGATGTAGCCCACACATTGTCCCATCCTCTGAGCTCGGAGCATATCATTTCTCTTGCACTAATCTACGCAGAGTCCTGTGCCATGTTTACTGTCATCCCTCCTTTGTCCCTCCCTTCCCAAATCTTGGTCTCTAGCCCCAGTTCACTCCTGGGTTCCACACAGTGTCAAGGTTGACAAAAAGAGGCAAGTCTGTGTTCATGTGAGGTCACTAAACCAGGCAGTGTGGCCTCGGTGCCCGCCCTTTGATTGAAAAGTCAACAAAAGAAAGCCTTCAGATGGCCATCTGGTCACGCCTAGAGAACAAAGACTAATGGAAATAAAGAACAAAGCTCGAGTCCATACATACTTTCCAATAATTTTTTTTGTTTTTAATATCAATCGATGTTTTAAAAAATACAGAGGTGTTTGACACAGAATAGCACCATTGTGTAGGACACACAGTTCCTGTGCCCGGCACCCGAAGTGGGTCTTCTTGCCTGGGCTGGGGGGCAGTCACTCAGGGGGCATTTGACTCTCACCAGTTAGTTTCCTGCCTCTGCTTTGACCCAAAGGTCTTACAGGAAGACAATAAATAAATAGAACACCGAGATTTTATTTTGCAGTCTGCCCAGTTCAGGTCTCTTAGAAAGAGAGGGGAGAAAATCCAAACTGTGAAAGGGTGGGATGAATGGACATCAGGTCAGGTCGGCCAATCAGTGCAGAGTCCTAGAGTGACTGGGGTTGGAAAGTACTTGGGTCCTTTGGGATTGCAATGGATTGTGTTGTTTCTGGGTTCGGGTTTTTACAAGAAGCAGACAGGCCCTATGTCCACACCAAATTCCTGCTCGGGCCCTCCTATGTCCATGGGTGCAATGTCAATGATGGGGAGGCGCGAGGTCTTCTGTGACCGGTACTCGATCATAGTCTTGCCCCACTTACCGGTGTGTTTCTGGAGAAGAAAGAGAGGAGACACTATTCAGTGATACCTTGAAATCCAATGCCAGCTGCCCAGGACCCCAACACTGAGCATCGCAGAACACAAAGTGAAAAACACACTTGGTTCTCCTTAGACCTCTTCTTGGCTGGCCAGAACCCTCTCCACCTCTACTCCTGTCCTTCCCAGCAGGGCCTCCCTTCTCCTCCTTCCCACTCCCCGCAGTGAGCTCCTTGCCTGTGACCCCCTTGTCATTCCATCTCATAGTCAGCCCATGAACATTACAGGAATCCTCCTACAAGAGTCTTTGGACACACTGGGTAAGGTCTTATTTCCCTTGAGCCCAGGAGAACAGCAAACACCTCTTCCTCACCTGTCACTCTGCACGACTTCTCTACATGGCACACACCTCTGATGAGTCCCTCACTTTAGCACCACGACACCTGCTGGGGGCCAACCCTCCGCCTGCTCAGCCTGACCCCTGGGCCCCGGGCAGTTCACGTCTCTGGCAGCTCCAGCAGCCGACTCACCGTGCAGCCATCCTTCAGCACCGTGTACGTGAACCTGCTGTTGCCCTCAGCCCGGATCTCCACATCATTGGAACCCTGGATGAGCAGGGCCTTCTTGAGGTTGCCGGCTGCTTCGTCCAGGTAGGCGATGCTGTTCTTGCAGTGGTAAGTGATGTTCTGGGAGCCTTCAGTGGACAGCAGGCGCAGGAAGGTCATCTGGACGTTGGCAGTGTTGGGAGCCAGGTTGTCATCCCCGTAGCTGAACTGTTAGGGCAGAGAGCAGTGGTGTGAGGCCTGGGAGTGGCCTTCGATGGGACCAGGGGCTCCAGGGCCCAGGGTTCAGAGGAGCTGAAGGGGGTTAGGGGAGCAGGTCAAGGGAGGATGGTTTTGCTTCCAGGGTGTAGAGCAAGCCTCCAAAGACCTCTTCCTCCACCTCTAAATGGCAGAAAATGCTATTCCTCCTCTTTCCTTCCTTGTAGGCCCCAAAGAAAACTGGTGAGAATGTGCGCAAGGTGCTAAAAACTTCCAGGGAGAGAGAAGAGCTCTCTGGCCAAGAGCAAGCAGGCACTCACGTGGAAGCCACCGTTGATGGTTTCTCCAAACCAGATATGTTTCTTGTCTTTGCTCTTGCTGCTCCACCAGTTCTTCTTGGGAACGTTCGCTGGGTTGGGGTAGACGCAGGTCTCGCCAGTCTCCATGTTGCAGAAAACCTTCATGGCGTCCAAGGTGCAGCCCTGGTTGGGGTCGATCCAGTAGTCTCCTGCAGGGGGAGGAGGCAACGCCCCTTCAGGGCTCAGACAGGCACAGACATACCCTCCCCTCAGAGGCTCAAAGACAGAAGGTATACCAGGGGGAGAGGAGCAGGGTGTGAGGGCCACACGTGGCCCAAGTCAGGGGGGACAGAGGGATCAAGGGAAGGGGGCTGAATGGGAAAGTCAGTGCTAAATGGGGCCGTGAGCAGCCAGGCAGGTGCAGTGTCTGCCTGGAGGATGGAACTCTACCATGCAGCCATGGCAGGACAGGAGCCAGGGCTTCAGTTTCTCTGCTGTGAAATGGGAGAGCAGCTGTCTGCCAGAACCTTCCAGGCCCACCTCTGCCCTGCACTAAGAGGTGCCTCCTCCCTGGCTCTGAAGGGGCCAAGCCCAATGGCTGCCCTCCTCCCTGGGGCCAGGTCCTGCCCTCCAGGCTCACCGCTCTTCCATTCTGGATGGCAGAGTTTCAGGTCCCGGCAGGTGCGAGCGGGGTTCTTGCGGGAGCCCTCGGGGCTGCGGATGCTCTCAATCTGGTTGTTGAGGGACTTGAGCGTGGCATCCACCTCCACGTCATGCTGCCTCAGATTGCCGGCTGCCTGATCGGCCCGCATGTACTGCATGGGGTCGGGGCCTTTTTCTCTCCCGCCTAAGCCAGCAAAGGCTGACATGTCAATGCCAGGGCCGGGGGGACCTGGAGGGCCAGGGGGTCCAGGATTTCCAGGAGGACCCTGCATCAGAAAACGGAGAAATCAGCCTGGAATTGCGGGGAGGTGCCCCTCCTGTGTCCATCACCTGCTGAAAGGCACTAGAGTGTATTCTTCTCAGTCCCATGGGCGGGGGGGGCGTGCAGCAGGCCAGGACCAGGAAAACCATAGCACCTTTCCTATTTCCTCATTAGCCCCCTCTTCTGTTTCCCAACACCAATCGTGGGAACCTCCAGGGAGAGCCCAGGATAAAGGATGCCATCACCATTAGCTGCAGGCTGCTGCCCCCAAAAGCTCATGCCTCTGGGATGCTGGGGACACCCCAGGCAGCAGTCAGGGCACTTACAGCGGGGCCTGTTTCGCCAGACCGTCCACGGGGACCAGGAGGTCCAATGGGGCCAGGGATTCC